AGCGAGAGCGTAAGTATAGCACAACGAGACGTGAAATGTTGGCCTTGGCGTATTTCTTGAAGTATTTTCGACCATATTTACTCGGAAAACCTTTCCTTGTGCGGACTGACCATCAATCTCTGCAATGGTTACAAAACTTCCGTGACCCGGAGGGACAAGTCGCGCGGTGGCAAGAACGCCTACAAGAGTACGATTTTACCTGTGAGTACCGGCCGGGAGCACGGCATGCCAACGCAGATGCCTTTTCTCGAATTCCCGCTCTGGATGAAATAAACGCAGTTCTTCACCACTCGGAAACTTATACAACGTGGTCAGAGGATCAAGCCCAGGACCCATATATATCTAACATTTATATTCGGCAAGTGGAAGGATCGTCTAAACCATCGGGTACGGAAATGCAATCCCGTTCGAAAGACGAACGCTCACTATGGGACCACTGGAGCCGATTAAGAATCATTGGTGGAACGCTGTTCCTCATGGATGACCTGGGCCAGAAAGTGATTACTCCTATGTCGAGAGGGCCGGGAGTACTACAAGCAGTCCATCAGCAGTTAGGTCACGCTGGCCAACTAAAGACGGAGACAGCCATACGTCAACGGTATTGGTGGCCAGGAATCCACGCCGACGTCGTGAAGCTATGTAACGCCTGCGAGATCTGTGCCGCTATCAAATCGAAGACCCCCTATCCCGGGCCCCATTGGAACCGATAGTGGCCACGTCCCCAGGTCAGCGAGTCGGAGTCGATCTAATGGGACCTTTGCCAGTCACAAGGAACGGGAACCGCCACCTCCTTGTTCTTATAGATTATTTTACGAAATGGTGCGAGGCCATACCTATCAAAAATCCGGATGCGGCAACGGTTGCGTCAGCCATCGTAAATGAGTGGATTGCCCGCTATGGAGCACCGCTGTCACTGCATTCAGATCAAGGCGCCGTCTTCGAGAGTCACCTGCTTCAGGAGGTGTGTCGGCTGCTCTCGGTGAGGAAGACACGTACCACATCGTATCATCCACAAGGGAATGGATTAGTAGAGCCCACCAACCGAACTATAAAAGGGATTTTGCAGAGTTTCCTGGAGCGGCACCAGTCAGGTCGATGGGACGAAGCTATTCCACAATGCATGATGGCGTATCGAGCGTCTGTGCATGCAACCACGGGGTATTCTCCAGCCTTCCTGACATTTGGTCACGAGCTTCGTTTGCCTCTGGAGCTGATATGCCCTATTCCCCCAATCGAGGCTTGTTCTCTGTCAGATTACGTACGACAGCTTAGCGAACGTCTTCCATCAGCCTTTCTGTGTGCGGGAGAACACGCAAGGATAGCACAGCATCGTCAGAAAGTATGTTAGGAGCGGCACAGTAGGGGCCCTGAATATCACATTGGAGATCGCGTATGGTTGCACCGCCCAAGACCACCGCCTGGCGCAGCAGCGAAGTTTCACCGACATTGGCAAGGGCCATACGAGATTGTGTTCGTCCGTTCACCCACGGTGTATGTCGTCCGAGATGTCGCTCAACCAAATTCCGACGTTCTGACCGTGCATTACAATCAGCTGAAACCAGCGAGATCTTCAGCCTCTACTCCGAAGGAGGAAGTCGTCCCACCCGGATTCCTTCCGATGAAGGAACACACTGTGGAGATCCCCCCGAAGGCGGCTCGGCGAGTATTCAGGGCACTGAGACACTGAGGACACTGTCTTCGCCGGAAGGGGGAGTGGTGTAACGTAATCGAAACCGCCATGGGGCGTTTTAAAGACTACTTAAATAATCTCTTTCTTTTATCTTTCATTTGCAGATTCTCGAGAAACCGCGGATATATGAAAACGTGCGAAGGCACTTTACCGACCCAAAAACTCTGACATTCCCTTTTTGTTTTGATTGTCTTAGCAAGGTCCTGTACACTCCTCTGTTTTTCCTGTTGTGGATAAACGTGCTTCCTCCGTGTCTGCTCGTTTTGCCCGTGTCACGCTTGCGTATTGCGATTCTGTGAGTGCCCGGTTGCTGTGTGTGCTTCTCGTGTCGTGTGTCCGCTGTGATTGACCGTGCTGCCTTTTACCGCCGTTGATTCGTTCCGTGCCAGTTTTCCAGCTCCCGCCGGTGCCCCATTACAGGAACTCCGTTACACTAATTTTTGACATGTAAAATTGGCCTGGAAGGACTTTGTGTTCCGGTACACCAGGCTAAATGGTGATGCTTGCATAACTGGATTTGAAAGAGATGTGTATAGGTCGCTTTGTGCTTAAGCATGTACAAAATGTGGCTGTTGGTAAGATATATTAATTGTAAATTTCGCTTTCATTCATCGCGATTTTAAAAGTACAAAAGATGCAATTATCAGACAAGAGATATGTATACCCCTTATACAAGTAAGTAACTTACTGTAAGAATAGACTTAACATACATGAAACAATTGTTTTTTAACGCTTAATTTCTCCATAAACAACCGTTTACACTACTCTTTTATTTTTCATTTGCCAGCTTTCCATTATGCCATTAACTTCAACTGCGCCTGTAGTCGTCGCTTTAATTTATCATAACCGTTTTCACGAAGCAAATCCATATAGCATTATTTTCTATTTCCTTGCACCTTAATACCACCAAAAGTAAGAATATACTCTGCAGCCATTCAAACAAACTTGGATGTTACCGAGGACAACGGTAGCGAAACCCTTTCCTGCAATGACAAATATTAGCCCTTCCCTGTAAAGGCACTTCTTTCGCTCTATAACAGAGGCTCGCACACTTCACTTACTCTTCATAAATTCGTGCATCCAAATAGTGTGTGACCTTCCCAAACACCGGTAGTTATCACTTTTATTTGTCATAACAGTTTCCAGGAGGCACTCCGAGTTCCATTAGCAATTTAGTATCTACCCTATAATGCCATCAGGAATAACAATAAAGGATGTAGCAATTCTAAGCTTTTTTGATATCAACGCATACAGTGTAAGCGTAACTGTTTCCCGCCTTTACAAAAGTTAGCCTTTCTCGACACCAAGTACGAGAGAGTTTGATGGCCCGTCGAAAATTGCACGTCAAGCGGAAGCTCCGGCTGCCCAGTAGTAGCAGACCCAGCAGGGTACTTTACAGATGCAAACGTTTGCTGGTTGGTTCAACGCGAGTGAAGCGAGTGACGTCTAGACTCTGTCAGTTTACGCTGGTGTGCCATTAAAACGGTGGTTGATTGCCCTATACACATATAATCCGCTTGCCGCGGATTCTAATGCACGTGGATAGGTTATTGGAATGCTTTATATTTTGTATATAGATTGGAAAATAAAATATCAACTCTCGTATGTCCAATCTTGTATAGTAAGCATATTTTATTGTTAAAAATACAAGTTAGGTCGCCTGTTTTCATGGATGCCGTATGTAACTAATTCGCAGTCTAGGAAGTTCGCTTGCGACATTGGATTCCCTCAACATGAAACCTAAAAACAATTTTTTGTGGCAACGCTGTTTTCACAAGCGTCCTTTGAAAATCCGTAAGATCTCTTTCAAGCTATCTATCAAAGCCTTGACTAGATATTTCGGGACGCAACAAGGACAAATACACTATAAGTACATATGGATTAGGTTTTATGTATTTATGTAATTGCATGGG